ATGAAATATTTGGGGCCAGCTCTTCGGTGGACATAAATCATCACAATTCCTCTGCCTTCCATGCCAGCTCACAGCAACTGTAGCTTGGATATAACACAGGTTAGTTAATCACTGACAAGTTTAACATTTTTGGGGAGGGAATTTAGGCAGTTACTCTGATTTGACAAATGCTTAGCATCCTGATGCCCAAGAAGTGTTCCATTTCATCAGTGCTTTGTTATGGATATGTCAGTGACATCACAGGAGGTCCCATCCATTGAAGTACCCACTGGAGCTGGGGCCAAATGGCCCCTATTTGGCCCCACGATCCCATGGTCAGGTGCAGCAGACCAGTGTGGACATTAGACTGGGAATCCACATCTGCAAGTCACATTTTCCCTGCAGGAAGAGTCAGTCATTGTCAATATTTATAAAGCCTGAAGAGAAGTTCTCACTAAAGGGCAGAAGGGGCGAAAAGTGTTTCATCATTATGAGTTTCCAGCTCTTCAGTGACATTTGATGAAATCATATTAACCATAATTATATTTGAGGGGAGCACGTCTAAGTTCTAATGAGCCTTTATAGTCATTCATTATCTGATTTCCCATTTTCATTCTGCAAAGGTTTGTTTGCTTCATTCAGTTAAATTAAGAGAGAGCTCTTCTCCTATAACCTCTTCCCTTCAACCTGCAGGTCCTTCACTGAGCATTATAGCCTGCACGTACTTGCTTAATTTTCAGCTTCTTGGAGGTCCTATCATAAGCTCAATCTTATGGGTGAGAATAGCATATGGATAAGCACTTGCTGGATAATAGGCTGCAGGTTTTTGCTTTCTATCAAAGGAAATTCTTACAATAAGAAAATGGACTTTACATTTTCACAAATAACTGCATTTAGTGGGATAAAATCCAGGCACCACAGATGCTTCACCCAAGAGTTATATGCAGATTTAAAGCATAAGTCCCATCTCATCCATTTTGTGGACAGAGCAGCACAGTGACTTGTACTGAAGATGAATATCTTCCCTATCAGTCTCGTTCATTATTAAAGTCCCTGACTTGGGGAAAAAATGATTCCTGCTTTCCTTCTCTTTCTGTGCCTTTTTCAGTGTGAAGTATCCAGGTTAAACCTATTCCCTGGAAGCAGCAAATTTTGTCTATAGCTGTGATTATGGCTAACCATCTAGATTGCCTACTGTTAAGTAGGTGAAGAACTGATGAAGGTGCTAATTGGTTTCTGTGTAATGATGTTTTTCCCAATAACTGTTCCTGTTAGTCTCATTAAAAATCATTTTAGGGGAAATGAAGGATGTTTGAAATAGTGTGTTGTGAACAGTCACTGTAAAAGATGCTTCTGATACAAAACATGAAGTGCTACAAAAATATCAAAAGTGCTTAACTGTTCAACCTTTCATGTCTTTAACTGATAAACTTCTGAAATTAAAGATTGATTTTGAAAATGTAGGCTATTGGAGCCAATCAAACATGCTTTGAGAGGAGGCCCAGGGCACAGGTCTGAGAATGGAGCTCCTGTAAGTTTCAGGAGTTCTAGAAATTCAAAACTCACATCGAGGTATTTGTAAATAACTTTTTTTATAATAAACTGTGCATCTTCTGAATTCTGGATGGTTCACAGTCTCATTCTGAATTCAGATGTAGTTTGAATATATCTGTAGTTTCACCTATAGTTAAAGGTTACGTGTTTTGATGCCCATGTGCTTTCTATCTACCAAAATTATGAGGTACTTCAAATTCCACTCAATGTTTTTTTGCAAAAAAAAATGACCCATAATTTTGCTCTGCTGCATCTACATGAAAGGAACTTTCAATAGACTGTGTCCATTGCCTATGTCCCCATGGACTCTCTCTTCACAAGAATAAATAAAAGAGATGCAGCAAAGGAATAAAGGGAAAATCAAGGATAAAAGAAATAATTTGTAAGCATAGTTAAGTCAAAGCATCATGCCACTTCTTTGTATTTCAGATAACCCCAAACATCTTCAAAGTTAAAGGCAGGATGAATATCCATAACAACTAATTGCATCTGCTGCACCTGCTGGAAAGTGCTGTGGCTGTGTACATGAATACCAAAGCAAACCCTACTGCTGCAAACAAACTCAGAGCCTGTCTGTAAGGCTACCATCCTGTGAACAAAGCTCAGACTTTGTTCTATTTTTAATAACTATCTTGTGCTTTCGCTCACGTTATTCTTGATGCCAAAGGCATTCTCCAAAACATCCTTTAGGAAACGTGTTTGTCCCTCCTCAGCCCAGGAAGGTAAAGAGGTGGAAAGTTGGCATGTGGCAACTGCTGCCTCTTGATCATTCAGTGGTGTTGTTTTTCCCTTGTGCCCCTTCACACATTTCTCCCTGCCTCTCTTGTGTTTGATGTAGACCATTCACTACTTGGAGTAGGCATTACCTTTATCTTAATTATTTGTACAGTGCGTGGCATAAAGGGCTTTTGGTCCTCGACTGGAGTTCCTACAAACTACCTCCATATTGATATCAACACATTCTTTGGGGTTTATCATCACCTTCAGCAGCACCCCTCTGTTACACAGCACTGAGCTGAGCTGTTTGGTTCACTGTAGAGCGACTCTGATTTGCTGAGTCCAAAACAGCACTTCTATTAGACATTTAGCAGTGCTGTACTTAAAGTGTTTATGGAAGCAAAAGCAACATTCTGCAGTCGGAGCATCTGCTGGTGGATATTGTGCAAGAAGAACACACCTGCTGTGTATGTATCACATACCATAATTAATTTGAATTTGTTTATGAAACAATAAATCACTCAGTGTGTCAATGGCTGACGACACTGCAAACTCCCTCCCCTCTGTGTGATTTAATTCTATTTAATTATACGGATAACATGCTTCTGTTTCTGTTTGCCAGGTCTCTCTACAGAACTCATAGATGCAGAAGGAGAACCAGGTCTGAAGCACGTAGGGGAGATCAATAAACAGAAAGAATAATTTTTTAAATGTTTCCTTTCTGCATCATGTGAGCCCTGCCAGGGATTGTGCATGGAGATACGACACTGTTGAAAGCACAGCTCTTTGATGGTAGGTAGTTGATGGTAAATATTCAAAAAGCATCATTAGCGAATGAAAAGTCCTCTTACTAAAATTTATGAAATTTGAGTTTGTCCAAAATAAATGAATTGACAAAAATTCAAGGAATATTTCAATGAAGTCATCATTTGCTTCATCGGTCATAATTCTGGGGCACTATATATGTGATTTCCAGTCATTTGTTTCTAATGCAAGAAACGATACTGATTGGCAGCCAACACACCAACATGTGGATGTGCTCATTTTCTCTATACACACAGTCACCTGCACTCCTAGCCCCTTTGGCTGGGGGCTGCCAGCACGCACAGCCCAGCCCAGCTCACCCTGCTGCAGCTGGGGCAGACGGGAGGGCAGCACGACCGTGGTGTTTGCTCTGCCTCTGCACCTGCCCTGTCCCCCTTTGGCAAGCAAACAGAGGAACCCCTTCAGATGTGTAGCACCGAGATGCTGAGAGGCCATCAGCATCGATCCGTGCCCCTTTCCTCCCGCTCCTCACAGAAAGGTTGCATGCTGTGCTCTGGGAATGATGCTCAGGAGGCTGTCGCCGCTGGTTAATGTTTTCTTCCCCCCTCCCTAATTTCCATGGAGTCACCCACAATATACCCTTTGCTATTGCCAGCAGCTGTTGTATTTCCCCACGTGTCTCTTCCCGCTTTCAGGGCAGAGAAAGTTCAGCAGCCAAGCACCATTTAGAGGGGGTAAGGTTATTGCTGGTCAGCGATGGGGCTGCAGTGCAGGAGCTGACATTTCATATATTTGCATCCCAGCTGCCTCATGTGGTTACAGTCAGCCATGCTGCCACAAGCTGGAATGATCCAGGCCCCACAGCCTCTACCAATGCAGTTTAAATTCCACTAAAAATAGGAATAATAAGAGAAACTGGCGACATTTAAGCAGAAGTCTGGGCTGAGTCTGAGCAAGGTTAGAAGAGAACAAACAAAAGATTATCTGTCCTTTGAAACATCTACCTTCTTGCCAATTCAAATATTGACCAGCTGCAGAACAGCAAAATCACTGCTTGCAGTAGGAGGGAAATGGCTGAGCTTTCCTCACAGATAAACCTTAGAGCAAAAATGGTGTGTGGAGGCTTGCAACAAAGGCTGTGGTCTCCAGAAGAGACAAAAGGTGTTGTGTGTACTGAGGTGGCTATCTCAGAGATCAAATCTAGGTGTAAACTCCGTGTAAAATCTGGATGGAGATAGTAGACCTCACCACAGGCTGCTATGTGATGTTTAAAAGCGTCCTTGTACCAGCACCCTGCCCCCAGCATCTCGTGCTGGGACAGGGAGAAAGGTCAGGGAACTCATCTGCCTGCAGAGGAACCCCCTGCATTTGGGGTACGCTTCAGCTGTGTTGAGTCCTGCTCTGGCTGCTACTTTGTTCCTCAAATATTTCCAGACAGCAAAGCAGACTGATCTCCTGCAGGTTCTTACTGTTGGTAACTCTGTTCAGAGAAAATTAAGTACTATATGGTTTGTGTCTTCCTTCTTGCTCAGTTTCTAACCCTGATATGACAACACCACTGAATTGCTGAAGTGGCTGCCTATCTTCCATCACCAGCACATGGAATAGACCTAGCAGTGGGACTTAGTGTGCTGCTGTTTTCCAGCATTAGCACAGGCTGTGGTATGCTATGATTTGACCATTCTTTTAATTCAGTGTGATGGACAGTGTTTTGGTTTGCTTTTTTAACACCTTTTTGGTTTGTCCAGGGTTTTGGCGTTGTTTTTTTTGTTTGTTTTGGGTTTGTTTGTTTTTGTTTTTTTTTTTTTTTTGTACTTTGGAACAGAAAAGCTTCAAAATAAGTTTTTCTGAGATGTCGTATGCATGTAGTGGAAATGCTAAGTCACAGCTTGAAGCAGTGATTGAGCACCTGGTGGAAAGGCAGGGCCAACCCAGGGGAGCTCAGGTGCATGCAATGAAGCTGAGTGACTAGAAGGGATGGAGCCAGGATCCACCCCTTCCCAGACCTCATTTAAGGGTTAGCATTGAAGGTAAGGCTCTATCTCTGGAGGTGGCTATGTACCTGAGGCCTTCTGAAGGTAAGAGGTTTCTTTCTTTTGTTTCTGTGCCTGCTTACTTGTTGCAGCTTGAGATCTTGCTGCTTTGCTATCACTGCTGCTCCTTCCACTGTGTTACAATGCTAATATTCCAATACTAGAAAGACCTGACAAGTTCAGTTCTGTGAATAAATTACTATTAAAAGCTAGTTTCTCCCTCAGTTCTAATTAAATTTTCAGTCCTGCACTGAATGGAGTATTAGGCCTTGCCACAGTCCTCCAAGGTATTACTGCACTTCAATGGATGAGGGCAGTGAAGCCAAGGAGAGTTGTAACTTGCTTCAGGTCGTTTTTCTAAAGGAAAGCAAAACCCAAAAATAGAGCAGAACGTGATCAATTTTAAGTTATGTTCTCTTGCCATTAGGCAGAGTCCCTTCTTTGTAACAGGCTGGGCTTCTCAGACTCCAGTGGGAGCAGGAGGGGCTGCTTCCTTATATGAGATCAGGCAAGCCTGGCTGCAGCACTTCTGCTCTCATCTGAGCCTTGGCTTACTCAATCTTATGGCCTTTGAAAAGGTAGTGAGGGAAATCAGAGATGTGTTGATGCAACCTAAGTATTTCTAAAAGAAATGGTAAAATGAGAATTTATTGAAAAGCATCTTAAAATCTATGCTCTATGTATGTAAATGTAAAGCATCACAATAAACTCTCACTGAGATCGCTCCTAGCTTTAAAACCATGAACAAAAAGAAAAGATGGACTCTTCTGTGTGAATTTTAAAAGTTTTTTTTCACTCTTTCTCTTCTAACCACTTCTCACTTGCTTCACTTTCAGGTCTTCACTCCCTTATGAATGTCCCTATGCCTGCGCAGAGAATGGTGCTTCTGTCTTTGCACGAATTTCTCTCCGCTGTTCTCACAGCAGACGAACAACGGGTCGGATCCGGAGGCGGTGTAAAACGGCTGTCGCAATGGGTGTCGATGGAAACCCGGCTCCGGGTTTCGTGTCTCAGCTCTGTAAAGGAGCCAGGTCTGTGAGCACCATCTAGTGGCTCTGCTCACACAGACATCACTGCATTTCACAACGCCCTGCTGGGTTACAAACATCAGCAGCTACGGTTAAGTGCAAGTGAAGGTATAGATATGCTGCTTGCATTTCCTATGTTATATATATGCATACACTAATCTTAAATTCTTTTTTTCCCCACTTTGTATTACATATGCTTGCTAAGCAGAAATACAGTCTTTGTAAGGTGACGTATCTCTGAAAGGCTGAGATCCCATTGCTGGCAGCCACTGTGTGTCTTGACTCACCATAATATAGAGAGCATTATTTCTGTCTCATACTCATGTATTATTGCTGGGTGTTGTTTAGAATCATAGACTTATTATGGTTAGGAAAGACCTGTAAGATCATCTAGTTCTGCTGTCAGTCACTGAATTTCTACATTGATGTGGCAATGGGTGCTAGGAAGCTGGAAGGAGTGCCAACAGCTGGGAATCTCTGTTTTGCACACACAATTATAGAGAAGAGGGCAATTAAAGGCCCTGATGCCATGGGCTGTTCAGAGTCAATACTTCCCTTGGTCTGAGTGACAGTGTTGTCTTTGAAATGCAGTGAGGCATTTCCTAGGACTTTGATGGTTCTAAAATGGCAGGAGGTGCATTATTCAGGAATAGAATCACATTTAAGGTCTATATTTTTCGTTTGGAGACAACAAGAGCTTTGTGATGTTGGTCGTCCTGTGTCTGGGAGCTCACATATGCTGTGTGAGCAACACCTGCTCTCTTACCATGGGGATCAGTCTGAAACATGTTGGAGGGTGCAAAGTGTTCAGGAAGCACTGAGTTATTCAGTGTGCCCGGACCCCCCACTGCTTGGCCTCCATTCGTGGTTTCTTGTACCAGCACCAAAAAAAAGTAAGCTGGTGCAGGAGAAATGGCTCAGTGTTGCTCAGTGGGGACTCAGGTTGATTAGTTTCTAATACTTGGCGCCATTTATTTCACAAGCTAAGCATGCAACATGATATTTGGGGCTGAATTCCTTTGAAGGACAACCGTCAGGCAGAAGGTCCTTTGTGTTGCTTCACAGCCATGCAAAGCCTCTCAAGGAACTGAAGCAGAAATCAGTTTGGTTTCTGCTGTCCTTTGAAGCTTGCTCTATGCTCAGCACAGACAACAGTTGCTCAGTTAGATCAGCACAAAGCATTTCATGGTGGTACCTGGACGAGGCCTAGAAGTGATTCTCCATGGAATCATCCCTGTAATTGAAGGCATCAGCTTCAGAAGCTGGTATTCAAGTGGAGTTCTTACATATGCATGCTGATCAGCTGCTTTGGGAAATGCACTGCAGTTAGGTCTAAATCCTGTGCGAGGTTATCTCATGCTTCCACTCCATGGTTTCCTTCCCGTGGAAAAGGCTGCAGTTCAAGCATCCACGAGGACAGCATGGAGCAAATAACTGAAACATATCTTCTTAAGTCTGTTATTTAAGAAATATTCCAATTATACCTGTTCCTGCCCAATTTGAAAAATGTATCAGAGCAAAATAGCAAGGCTCTGAATTGAGCTATCTTTTCTCCCCTGAGGATCTCTCTGTCTTCTTCCGATACAGAACCAGCATTCAAGTGCAGCTGCCCTCCTGACTGACCTCCTCTCTGCACCTGTCCCAGCTTGGTTTGCAGGGCAGCCCCCAGCTGTGTACAGGCCATGCTCATGGACTCAGGATGTAGATCCTCATGCTGTAAGTCTCTTGAACTTGATAATGTATAATGTGACAATGACCACTTCTACAAATGCTGCTCTTCTACATAAATGCTTTCTGGTCCCTGATGATTTGCAATTTTGCAGGTGTATCATGTTTCTCTTTCTTCACTCTGGAGAGAGAAAATACATTTTATTTGCTCTGTGCTTGTCAAACTCTTGATCTACTTGATTACCCTGCTCTGCTAGCTTTTCAGCCAGCTGCAAGTACTTGAATGAGAGCTATCCGGATCGTTGCTGAATGCTAACTTAGCAGTTGAAGGCTGACAAAGTGATGCTTTCCCCATATTCAGCTGAGTGACCTAATGGGTTTGTACAAAGCTGACAATAGGTATTTACAGATTCTAACACTCAAAACTAACACATCAGTCACACATTGATCAATGGCTCAGGTTGGGTGCTGGACTGCAGCTGGTGGGGTGATGTCACCCAGCTAGCACAGGACAGCCAGCAGTGCACATGCTGTACTTGCATGAAATTGCATTGCATGAGGCTTCTGCATTCAGGGGTCCTATTTCACTGAGTTTCTTTCTTTTTAAAATACACCGCAGCTGCTCCACAGATCTACTCAATAACCCAGTGACACATATTTGTAAACTAGCCATAAGGATTTTTTCTTTCTTGCTTAGCCAGCACAGGCAGGAAGTGATAAGGTCTGCTTTTGTTACAATGAGAGATGCATGCTGCAGCAGGCTTGTGGCTGGAAACCTTGGATAATGGATGGTTACTTGAGGTCCTTATCTAAGATACTCCAAGGAACTGCCACAATAAAAATAATAAACACCAGCAATAATAATTATTAACAGAATTCAAGGAGCCTGACTCTAATCTCATGCTGAGTTTGTAACTTAATGATTCTGCTGACTTTGAAAGAGCTGCTTCTGATTTAAACTGTTGAAAGTGAAATCAAAAGCAGATCCTAAATTTTTGTCCACCTTATTTGCAATCAAGCTATTCTGAGAGGTGGCGTAGCTCCTTGATGCTGTTAAGACCAAAAAATAAGTGACATTTTTGGATCAAAGCAGCTTTTACTGAAGTCAGCCACTTCAAGTCCTATCTGAAGCAGTAGGCTGAAGATTTTTAAAGGAATATGGAGGTTTTTTTATAAAACACCTTTTTCCAAGTTGTAGAAAGACTGAGAGTGGTTTCTTACTTGGTTTTATGTTTCTGTCAATACTGTTAGAATCAGATATTTTACTGGGCTAGGATTACACTCAAGGGTTGGACAAAGCATTTATTTGAACACCATCCCTAAAATCTATTTTAAAATTGCCTGGAGATTGAGTTAAATGACTTCCTTAATTGCTGTGTTGAAAGAATTGTTAATATTTGTGCTTCAGTTACCCTATTCTCTGTCTGTGGAAGATGAGGCCAATGGAGGGAGTCCCCATGCTTCTTCAGGGACAAAGAGCACATCTGCCCCATGACAGTGTCCCAGAGACGCTGTCACAAGTCTCAGGTTTTACCCAAAGCCCTGTGGGCAGGCTGGGACACTGGTGGAACTGAGATGGGAGCTCTGCCAAAAAAAAAAGACAAAACATGATCATGGAAAAAATCATTACTAACCACAACAGTGTTTGATGAAGTCACAAAATGCATCTTAATGTTTTTCTACTTTTGACCAAGAAAAACTTGGGTTTTGTTCAAGAAGAGGCTTGCCTGTCTCAGTAGTCCTTGATCCTGTCCTGACTGGTAATAGTGAAGAAAAGTGCCATCCCTTAATGAGTAGAGCAAGGAGAGCAAGCAATGACTCCCAGGAGTTCTGCCAGCTTCTGTGTAGGAAACACTTTCCATGAGATGGCAGTTTTTAGGCATGATGCAGCTCTCGTAAAGCTGGGATCAAATGGGATTAATGGCAGCACATACTCTATTTGTTCCTTGTTTCCAGATCTTTCACTGAAGGCACTGTGAGCTTTGCAATGGATTTCCAGAAGATCAGAACTCAGCCCTCTGCTGCTTAGGTAGCATTTAGAAGTGGCTTTTCTATAAAGTAAAAACATGCCTACATACTGATCCTTAATCTTTTTAAGCACAAAGTTTATTTGTTTCATTGGCAAAGCAAATTGCTGTAAAAGCCCTTTGGCACAGCAACAACCTCTGTTGCACAGCAGATTGCAAAGCAGTGCTGTTGGCGGTCAAATGTTAGCACAAGCACACACTTATTTACAGACCCAGGCAGTAAATCAAACTTCTTATGCAGCGCAGCATATCCTGCTCTTAAACTCTAAGGCAAGTTCATGAGCCTTCATTTGCATTTTAAATTCTTCCAGGAACTACAAAGCTTTCTTAAGACTATTTATAGTCTTTGGGAAACATCTTTTAGCAAGAGTGTCATGCATTGCTTTGATGGAAGTAGAGCATACCAACTTCTCCTGGGAAAGATGGAACAAAATGTTATAGAAGCTGGAGAAAGCCAGTCCTGCTCCATTGGCAGAGTACTGTGGCATGTCGTCATCTCTGTGGGAGAAGCTGGAGCTCCTGCCACAGTACAGGGGGATCACAGAGAGCTTCATTTTTTGGGTCCTCCTGTTCTTACTCAGACAAATGACTCATCTCAGTGAGATGTTATAGATAAAAAGGCTAAAATCTTTATTTAAAGTCCTCTTTTGTCCATCAACATTAAGCAATTGAACCAAAGCTCATCCTACCCATTCGGGTTTGCTTTGAAAATGTTTTGTTGAAATGCTAGAATATTTTCCCAGAAAAAAAAAATGTTTTTTCTTTCAAAATTTAGTGAAATGTCAGCAGTCCTCATCCAGGCATCAGGCAGCTCTCTTGTCCAGAAAGCAGAACAAATCTGTGCTTTTTCCTGGTATGACTACTTTGGAAGCTTTCCATAAAGAATCAGAGAAGGCTGTGCTGTGACTTCAGGCTGTCGAATGAGAGACAGTCTAGAAATAAGAGTAGCATCAAGCTGGTGAGCAGAGGGCTTACACTTGATAACATACTGAATGCCCCACATTCCTGCATTTGTTTAGCAGTAGCAACCTGCCACAATAAAATCCTTGCCACAAGAAAAGTGTGAAGTAGGAAAATTGTGGAGCATGGTTGCTCTATACCCAGAACTCCCCAGATCTTGTATTGTTCCTCAAACTTTTCAGCAAATGGGTGCATTTCCCCTCCCAGGCACTTATCAGAGAGCATGATGATGGTCTGCATCACACAGCAGATCAAATAACTCTCTTTCAGCAGAGCATCAAGTGCAATGGCAATTTTATAAGCTGATTTGTGGTAACTTCTCTCTTTGTTTTCCTGTTCCCACACGACCTTGTGGAAGCAGATAATGCAATGAGTCAGTGTTGTTAGACAACATCGTTACCCTGATTTCTCATCAGTAGATGCTTAACGCAGCAATTCATTTCTCACTGTCAAATCTCTCCACTCTTTCCTTCTTGCTTAATTTCTTGTTCCCTTCTTGCCTGTTTCCCTACATAGAATCATAGATTTCTGGAATCATTAATGTTGGAAAAGGCCACTAAGGTCGTCTTGTCCAATGCCAACGTTTCCTCTAGACTTAATACATCCTGAAAACTCACAGACATGAAGTTTTATGCACAAGTTCAGTTACAGGAGGGCTGTGTCCAGGCACTGTGAGCTTCATCAGCTTGAAATAAGGTTGAACAAAACTCAAAAGAACAAGATTTTGTCTTCTGAGAGGCTAAGTTTTCAACTAAAAGCATAAAGAAATACAGCCACAAAAAAAAGAAAATTAAAAAAATGCTCAGGTTCACATGCAAAACTGAGCGTACATGCCAACTAACGTTTGTCCAGGCATTTCCTAAAACTCTCTAATAAGTACCATGTGTGGACAGCCAGCTATTGGCACGCACACACCATGCACTCATGGACTCCATTGGCCATGAAGTTTTGCATTTAGACCTCAGGCCTCTACCCCAAAAATATTGGCCTGATGCATGAGAGAGCTGTTGTCTTCCAGCAGCTATTACCAGCTATGAGTGATGGAGCAAATTCTTAGTGTTTCTGTCGCCATATGTGCTGATGTACTTCCACAAATGTAATTGAAATTTCACTTGATCTCCTTTGCTCTGCATGTAGTGTAGTATCACTTCGGATGGCTCAAGAAATATTTTTCCTACCATATATGTAGGTAAAGAAGCAAGGATAGGGCAACCTAACTAAATATTTTAAGTTACTCTTAGAATTCAAAAATATATCCTGTCAGAACAGCTGAGTACAGCCTGGGGAGGTACTTTTTATAAATCTATGTATTTTGTAATTGTTCAATTTGTCCAAGCCAGAAAGGAATGAGAGCCATCATCCTGTTTTTGCAACACATTCATATTGCATGCAACAGCCACACACACTACCTTTGAAGCACCCTGGGGTCTGTAAATTAGGATCATAAGGTATGCTGGGAACCTGGAAGCAAAGAGGGCTGCAGGGACTCCTCTCAGCTGGAGTCTCAGCCTTTGCCTCTGCTGAGGCTGCCATCACGCATGCTATTAGTGTTCATTATATGGGAGTGTTTTTGTGATGTGGGTGCATCTCCACCTGGAATGAGTTGAAAAGGCATAGAGGCCATCAAAGTGCTATCAGATGTTATTAACGTTTAGCCCACTAAAATCTGGACTACATCTGAACTACTGGCACGCAGATGACAAGTCCTACATCCCGCTAAGGATTTCCTGAGTCCTAAGGCGTATCGTTCGTGTGAGAGATGCTTCTGAATGGGTTGCCATTCTTTAAATGAAGAAACAGAAAAAGAAAAAAGAAAAAAGAATATTTTGTGTGGCTTTGCTAATGTCTTTTCAATGCGGTCCTTACATCTTTCTCCTGCCACTGTTTCCTGTCCCAAGAGTCTTCCTCTGCTCTGCCCATGTCTGTGGGTGATGAGGTCAGTGTTGCAGCCCAGCACCCTGACCCCCTTGCTGATCTCCTAAAGGCTCTCTGACCACGTTCTGGCTGCACAAACCTTTCCCAGGCCAGAGGCACCAGCCCTCACCAAATTTTCAGTACCTCTCAAGCCATTCTTCACCCTATCTATGTCTGTACAAAAAGTGGTTCTTTCTATCTTTGCTGTCACTTCCTCCCTCTAACACTTCTGCCCAGACATTATTTTATGCTTCTTCCCCTCACTCCTCCATCCCTCCCTGTGCAGTTCCCACACCAGGAATACCCTCCTTTCCTCTCCTAAGTGCTCGTGACAGCTGCCATCTTGGCCCAATCAGGAGTGATTGATCCAGCATCCTTCAGCTCCAAGCGCATTTGATCTGTGAAGCTCTCCAGCTGGGTCTGTAATAACTCATATCCTTTGTGGGTTACACATCAAGCAACTCTTTTCCCATCAGTCACGTCTGTCTTGATAGAGAAGTTCTTCCATGAAGCTCTTTGCTGTTAATCCACCGTCTCACGAAGCACGTGATGGAAAAAGTTATTATGAAAAGCAGTATTTTGTATTGCTTTGATGCAAGCAAAGCTTATTTCCATGTCAATTTGATCGAATAAAAAACGTCTCAGGGAAGAGATCATGAATTCTGTCAGGATTTAGACTATGATAAGAGCAATCAATTCATAAATATTCATGCCTGAGGCTCACTAAATGAGCTGCTGCTCACTAGTTTTGCTTTGTTTTTGTTAACTCTGATGCTTTATTTACAGAGCTACATTCAAAGCCTGCTAAGCAGACTGAACTGCTGCTATCAGTGTCAGCACAGTGCTGCTGCATTCTCCTCTGTCTTCTGGGAAACTGTGCTCCAACTCTGACGCAAAGAAAATTAGGACCAGATATTCCTATTTGTGTGGGAGCAACACTTCTGTGCACCTGTAAGAGGACAAAAAACCTTTTAATCCCTTACTTTTGGGTGGGTGCCCAGCTATCCATCCTTCTTTATGTCCTAGACGCAATACAAGTGACCATGTTACTTTTGCTGCAAGTTGGTGGTCGTGTTTTGCCTAAATTACGTTTTTCTTGTGAGATGCTCTGCAGAGACAGAGTGTGCTTTTTCAGAAAATCTTGGGAACTGATTTGTCTACCTTGGACACAAATGTAAAACTGAGTGTCACTTCAGAAATCAGATCTACTGATTATTTTGTGAGCTATACAATTGATTTCAAGCATTCCAGGCTATGAAACCAGGTCAGAAAAAGCTCAAGAAGCCCAATATTCTGTCTCTCTATTTCCTTCCTCCATGCCTGTACAACATTGCACACCTCATCTATGTTCTCTCACCTCTTTCCAGACTAGTGGGCTACTCTGTGTCTCTCATGTGGGAGATGTTCCACAGCTTTGCTCATCCTTTCCCCTGGCCTTTAAGCTTTTTCTGCTTTTCCTATATCCTTTGGGAGGTGAAGGACCAGAGCTGCAGATTGCATTCAAGAGGAAAGAGCACTGTGATCTTGTAGAGGGCCACAGTGATGTGATTTGTTCTTTCTATTTCTGTAAAATATTCTCTTATCCCCAGCCTCTGACACACTTTGCGTGAAGTAAAGCTGTTTACTGCCACCCCTTGGCCATAACTAGAATGATATTGTGTATGAACCTTTTTGCATGTCTGGTCAAACTTCCTTAAAGTAAGTGTGTAGGTATGAAGGTAGCACACCAATGAGAAATCTGTAGGGAGCAGCTTATGGATGAATTCTTTTGCAAGAAGATCTCACTGATGCGGAAGAAACTAGTCCCATCACATAAAGACCAGCTCTTACTGATGCTGGCAGTGTTAGGAATACCAGAAGGAAAGTTCCTGGACATCAGGGGGTGCAATCCTCTGATCCAAAGCCCATTAAATCACACGAATCTTTTCACTGATTTCTAAGAACTTTGGTGCAGGTCCAAAGTCCTACACTGATTTTAATCCAAAGGCATAAAAAGAGATAACATGAGAGTAGTTTGAATGGAAGGACTTTGTGTGAGCCACCAAACTCACAGCAAATATTAAACAGTTAACCAGAGCTGCTTCTAACTGCTAGACTCTTTATTGTTGTCCGTATAAAGCATGTTTCTTTATACCATCATTCATTACATGTAAGCATATCACCAGTGCTTAATCACAACAAAGTATTACTAACAAGGACTGTATGTAAGTTATTATTCACAGCGACTGTAGCAGAGTTGTTTGTCATTTACCTTCTCTGAACATCTCATCTTCAAAAGGCAAACCTGCTATGGAAAATAATGCACATCCTGTTAAAATCAAGCATGCTTTAATACCTAACAATGCCATTCACATCCAGTGTGCATGCATAACATTTACACGCTAAGAGACAGTTAAAGTCAGTGGCTTATTTTATAGAGTATGTATATATTTTAATGAAAAAAATTATTGATAGCTTGATTGAGATTACAAATAATATAAGAAAAATCTTGATAAAACAACATTATTCCCACAGTACTGTGCTTCACTACAGGATTCACAAAATCACAGAGCAATTGTACACAGCACAGTGTAGGCTTTTCTTTCTGTGTATGGATGAAAGAACCCAGAGGAGGCAAGCACTCTGTGCAGAATAAAACCTGAACCAGAGGAGAGAACTTCTGGGAGCAGTGTACCCAGGCTATTGTGTTTCTTTAACAGCAAAGATGGAGCTTCATCCCACCTGGAGCTCTGCTGCATGTCTTGCCCAGGTGGCTTCTCAAGAGCAGAACTTGTCACAAACTCTGTTATAGCTGAGCATCATGAATCTTGACTCCAGGCTGAGCACAGTATGATAAATGATGATGGAGAAGGAATGCTTTCAGCCCTGCTGAAAAAAGCAGCATTTTGACTAATTTATGGTCCAGGAACAAAGAAAGAGGTGAACAATCAGTTTTCTTTCCTTAATTTTAAAATTCCTCTGGATGGCGTGTAAACTCGATGATAACACTACACACAGCTGTGACAAAAGAGCAGCAGGGTTCATGCTTCTACACAACTCTTTCTGATGAAGAACCGTGTTACAGCAGCATGTGCTCACAGTTCATCACCAAGAGCCATGACCCCACTGTCCCTGGCTGCAGGCAGGTGCCAGGGCAAGGCAGTGATCTGGGGCCTGCTTGGAAAGCGCTGAAAAAGATCCCAAACTGAGAGGATAAGGAGCACGTTGAAAGTCAGGCCTTTGCAAAACAAGCTGGGAAGTGCTGGCAGGGAGAGCTTTCTGCCTTTCATCGTGTATTCTCTTCATTTGTTACTAGGAGATAGGACCTTTGTTGGAAACTGCTCCCTGGCAGTGCCTACACCAAGTGCCTCCTGTGTAATGCAACCAGTTTGCAGCAGATTCTCACAGGAAAACAGAAAACAAGCCTCTTGCAAGCCCAGGGCAGGGAGTGGGAGTGCATGGGGATGATTTCATCTCGTTGCAGAGAGCAAAGCATACAAGTGAGGGAGAAATGACTGCACTTACTTTGGATATATCTTCTTTGACGGCACCTTTTTTTCCCCACAAAACGAAATCACCTTTTTATACAAACCAATTAAGCGGTCTTGGCCCAGCTTAAAAGCAATGAAGACAATTTCCATGCCAATAATAATATAGAGGGAAAAAAACAGGAAAAACTTGGGGTGTTCCAGCTGCGTATCTCCAAATCCAATCGTTGTCAGGGTGATAAAGCAGAAATAAAAGGCTTCCTGAAAATCCAGCCTGGTTTCCCAGTTTGGAAGAATAGCAGCTGCGCAGGAGATGTACACAAAGATAACCAGCACCATTAACACGATGGGCACATCCAGTTTTTCTAACTCTTTTCCTATTTTGTCAAAATTCTCGATTACTCTGGTCATTGTTTTTCCCCTGTCTAGTTCAGGACACGAGCTCCATCTCTCTATGCTTTTACTTCTTGATAGATTTTTGTATTCATTTTCTCTGGCAATTAGCATCTCAAAAATTTGGGCATTGCGATATTGGGTTGGTTTCTTTCTAACAGCTGATTGACTTCTCAGCATTTCCACAATACTCAAGGGTTCGTTCACATCCATTTTAGACCCATGTTCTCTGATACACGTGAATGCAGAACAGAATTTGGAGGCTAGAATTTTTGACTGTAGCTTTCTGAATTCATTGTAAGACTTGGACAAAACAGTCGCAAGGATGTCTCCCATATCTGTCAGGACCAAGAACATCAGAGGGATGCCAAATAAAGCATACAGCATGCAGAGGTATTTTCCAGCCCTTGTCACAGGATAGGTATTGCCATAACCTTGAAAAAAAAGGGGGATGGGGGAGGGGGAAAAAGGAAGGAAAAAAGGAAGAGAAAGAACATGATGATTTGTTTGCTATTCACCTGTACTGAGACTTTTACTGTTGATCAAAACCTGGAGATGTTGTATTAAAGCCTGATGCAGTAGAGCCCCAAAATGCTGTTGTTTACAAATATATGGGTTGCTGGTCAGAGCGTATGAGAACATTTCTACAGTCCCACATCAAAGAAGATGGGTAAGTATTCCTAAGCAAGATGTTTTCAACAACATGATCTTCCACTTGTTAGCTGGAGTCAAAGCTCTCTGATAAAGGGTCCTCTTCCAAGTGTTCCTTGCTGTTGTGTTTATTCTAATATTCACAGGGGGGAGGATTCAAGTCTGTATCTCCAGCATGTTTCTGAGCTATTAAGCTACTCAAATGTGCCTGTGGAATGAAAAATGTGGTGCTATCTATCCAAGACAGAAGCCCTCCAGTGTGTAGCACTGAGAGAAGTGCACTCTGCAGGAGCCAGCTGTGCTCTCAGGGGTGCAGGATGCTGAGTTTGAAGACAGCCACCAAAGCTGTCAGAAATCAAGGTTCACTGAGGCAGCCGGCCCTACGTGCTCCAGGAAACACAGGAGCTCTCACATTATTCCTTCTATAGAATAATCAGTTCTTCTTCTGCATTAAGATTTGTAATACTTGTGCTGGGATCTTGAGTATATCCCAGTGCAGTAGAGAAGTGTCTTTGCAATTTGATACATTGCTATTGGATTGCTTCCCACCCTGCCTTAATCCTGGCAGGGTATTTAGATACTGTCTCTACTTGCCAGCAGCTGAGAAACGTTAGCAAAAGGATTGAAGTAACTTTGGGGACGAGCATGAGGGGTGTATTTAGCAATGCAGGAACAGCCCAACCAGAGCAGCTGTTTCAGTTTCATTTGAGTTCTGCTTTGAAATATGAATTCAGAAGGGAAGGTTTAGAGACATGATTTAAACATAACCCCCTGCTGTTAACCCAGAGAAGTTGAGCAACAACAACAGCACATTCAATTACAGAGCTGTAGGTTTACAAAGCAATTCTGGACATAAATACTGGGAAGCAGTTTAAAAACAATATCCACATAATGAAGTACCTCTTTCAGTATGAAAACATTACCCAGCACACAGGAGTAAAAGAAATAAGGTTTAACTGAAAAACTGAGCTTTCTGTCACTGTACTATAATAGTTTTGTGCATGCATCATCCATGAGCACAGCTTACAGCATGCATGCAGTGCTGCAGTTAGTTAGCATGGAGCATCACTGTTGCCTAAATTCTGACTTGTCTCTGTGACTCAGCGACATCTCTGCAACCTGTGCTTGCAGCACAGCTTCCAGTCCCACATCAACACTCAGGGGGAAAATTAAAGGGGATTTGGAGGTCTTTTTTTTCCCTTTTAGTTCCCTATGGAGGAAATACATCAGAGAGAGCAGTGAGGCATTTGATTCTGAGCAGTTACTTTACCTCCAGACTTACCCACAGTGGTGAATACTGTGCAGCAGAAAAAGAGAGACCCAAAGAAAGTCCATATATCTTTTGGATTGACAAACCAGTCTCGTTCCGCTGTGTGGAGCAGTTCATGAATTTTTTCCTTAAATATCTCCTCATTTTCCGTCATGTTATCTGTTACATTAACAACAGGAGATGCACTGAGCCACAGCCCAAACCTGTATAATCCCATCACTGATCCAGAAAGATTTCCTGCTCTTCTCCTCCCTTCTACCCTTCCCTCAGCACAAGTGGGTCTGGGGAGCAGTGCTGCATCCCAACATCCCATCAAGGGATGCTCAGGGCTGGGACAAGGGAATGGGGAGAGACTTTCTGAGACAGGGAATCCAGTCCACCTCAGGCAGAGGGAGATCTTACTTGCCTCTGGAGCTCAGGGAACTAGGGCAAAAAGGGAGAACACTGAAAAGTCTTAACTATTTACAAGTAGGAGCACAGGGACTGAGGTAGCCTACAGTCAGAACCAGAGTTGAGGAAGATCAGCAAGCAATAGCAGTCATTAGCTAAGCACAGAGAGAATCCCATTTGCAGGCTCAGCTATTATTATTTCGAATAATGTCTTCAAAAGCCAGAAATCAAAAAGCAGAGGAATGAGTAAGCCCACGTACAATTAACTCATTTTTGCTATTCTGGTACATACCTGATAAATTTTTGGAGATGTACCACAGATTCTGCAGGAAATGTCTGTATTCTTCACTTAAATTGACCTTTCGGTTACCTTCAATGTGGGAAAACATGAGAGCCCCAAGAAAAGCATAGATCACGAGAGACAGAATGAAGCAGGCATGTGGAAACACTGCCCAAAATATTTTCTTGCATGCCCTTTTACCTCGCAGAGGCTGTGATGTTGCTGCCATCCTACACTCTTTGTTTGTTTGTTTGTTGGTTGGTTTAGAAGACAGCTTTTAGAAATGAGGAGGATGTGAAAGCTTTGGTATCCTAGAAAAGCTTCTCCTGTGAAAACGGATTGTTCTGCTGCAGGCTGTCAGATCACATGTCTTCTAATTGAAGATTGCACTGCAGTCCCAATGGAGAAGGAGCACAGCTATCAACGCCTGGAAATATTCCTCAACTGATGGCATGGCACTCCGGATCCTGGATTCACCACTGCCCAGGCAGGGCTGTAAAGCACACACGTTCCCACCTTCTGTTGCAGCCAGCTCATCTTTAAAGTTTCTTGTTCTGAACTGCCTTTTCCCACTGATATGGCAGGAACAGATTTGCAACCCATCACAAGGAAAATGCACACAGTGAGAGATGCGTTTCTAGAAAGGGTTCTTCCAGAAATGAACGTGGAAATTTAAAATCAATTCAAAGAAAAAAAAAAAAAAAGGAGGGGGGATTGATGCTGATTGCTGTTGCCTCTGGGCAGCGTAGAACAAGCAGCAAGGATAAGGAACCTCTTAAGCAAAAGAGGTTTTAGCCAGTTCTCATTTGATTAAAACCTTCCCATTAATTCAAACTGCCACTGACCTTAGTAAGTAAGAAATGACATTCAGTTCAGGGTTAGTGATCCTTGCAAACTGTATCCAATGTTAAAAGCGAAACCTTTCCTTTCATCCATCACTCCAGAGCAATGAGCAGCATCGCTGCCCTTTGTAATGTTAATAGTACTAGTAAGGGGAGTTGAGCTTTACTGAAAGAGCTGTTAAATATTTCATGTAAAACTGCGGCTAAGCCAAGACCTACTGAGCAATTTGCAGGCAAAACACTCACACTATGAAGAAATACCACATGGACGTAATGATTTCTTCTTGGTCAAACTCTCCGCAAATTGGATCACAAGATATCACATGCTTGTTAATATGGCAGCCTCCCCTATGGAAAAGAGGCTTTCGGGGCCAAGACCAAAATAAGCCTGTGCACTTGCTACTTTCCTGTTTTTCTGATTATTTGACCAGTAGTATTTATTTTTTTTTTTCAATAATAGATTCATAAATCCTCTTACTTCTGTCCATCTCATTCATTTGTTTTTGCTGTCCTGAGACACGGGGTTGAAAACTGCCAACTTACTGAAAAGCAATGAAGCTTCCTGAGAGGATGTGCTCAGGCTGGGTGCCCTTACCCAAGAAACACGGGGCAGGTGACAGAACAAAGGGCAAGGCTGGCTTCTCTGGGTGAGTTTTGTGCAGAGCTGATAACAGTGATACAGAAGTTGACAAGAGCTACTCAGATTTCTCAAGAAGTTTGATGGAATCCCTCTCTAGAGTTTTTTGAAGGGAGGTGAATAGCTACAACAGGATAAAAGGTCTTCACAGGATGGAATTAATGATTCATGGAGAGGAAGAGAGGGAAAGGTCACTGCTGCATCATGCATGGAACTGTGCTGGAATTCTGCCCTTACTCATAACCATAAATGACCTGGAGAGGGGACAAATAGTGAGCTGACAACTTTTGCTGATCATAGAATCATTTCAGTTGGAAGGGACTTGTGGTCCAACCAGCCACGTGGTCCAACTCCCCTGCAATGAGCTGGGACACCCACAGCTCCGTCAGGTGCTGATGACATGATGCTGTTCGGAGCAGTAAGGCTGAGGACAGGCTGGAAGGAACTGTAGGAGGATCTGAAGATGTCAGCAGTAACACAGCATATAAAATCAACATAAGTGCATGTAACGAGATAAGCAATCCTACCTTCACACACAAAGTGGTTGGCTCTGGGCTGACTGTCACCACTGGGCAGCAAGTTCTTGGAATACATTGCATCACTGCCACAAACACATCAGCTCAGTGACGGGGTGGTCAGTATACTCACATCCTTCCAAAAAGGGATCTTACTGCTCACTATGGTGATTCTGACACAATTTGTCCAGTGGATGTTTTCATCAGTATCTCAGATATAAATCTCTTCTTTCCAAAGTGCTCTAAAATCTTCTCGGCTCCCTCCTATACATAGCAGAATTGCAAAGTATTTAGCAATTCCCAAGAGCTTCTCAGCCATTTGCAACATCAGGCTGCAAGCTGGTAGCAATGAGCAAATTTAATAAAAGTACATTCAGAAATGATTTTTGCATTATTTTTTTAATCCAAACCATTTCCCACTATTGCTGTATTACATATTTGAATTCAGTTGCTTAAAAGCAAATCCTACAAACCACAAATTTTTCCAAATTGAGTTACTGGTACTTGTATTGAGATAGATTTTTGCAATACACATTTCCTATTCATGTTAATGGACAGCAAGCATGCACTTTTCCCAACTTCCATCACTTTTATAAGGGCAAATGTGAGTGTTCTGAAGAAGCTGCTTGACAGGAAAGTTTGTGACCACAGCTGTAGGGTTTAATTATTCCACACACATTAGAATTCATACTTTATCTGATTTTCTTGGCTTACAAAGGTAAAACCAGGAAGGTGTATGATGGTGATATTAGCCCCAAGCAAAGTAAACCAAATCAAAGCAAAAACCAAAAGCAAGTAACCAACCAAATCCAAGTAGCAATAATAGCACCCATCACACCCTGTAGGGATTTCAGCCCACAAACAGGCACAGTGTGCACAGCCTGCTGAAAGTCCCCCATGTACTTTCCAGGTTCTCTGCAGTTATTTTTTTCCTCCCAACCTCAACTGTCTGTTGGATTCCCCAGCCTGCTTTGTATCCACCTGTAAAAGTGTCAGCTTTTTCTTGAGACGAGTGCTTGAGCTTGTAACCTCTGGGAATATTTGAGGGCACTCAGGATGAGCATTCTGGCACCACACATAATGCTGAGTGGATCCAAAGATGTCCAAGACTCTCACTCTGAATAAGAGCATTTCCTATCTCATTCTTTGCTCACACAAAAGCCAAGTACACAGCCCTGTCATTTCATTTATGAGAGACAAACACTTCACATCACTCCATGCCCCAGGAGTAGCCAAGATTTGAGTACCAGTACATTTTTAGCACAAATGAAAGTCACACAGATAGAAAACACCCAAGTCCCCTGACTTATAAGGAGCAGCTGAAGAAACTGGGATTGTTTAGTCTGGAGAAGACTCAGGGGAGACCACAGCACTTTCTCTGACTGCCTGAAAGGAGGTAGTGGCAAGGTGGGTGTCAGCCACTGCTCCCAGGTAACAGCCGTAGAGGTGATGGCCTTAAGTTGCACCAGGGGAGGTTCAGGTTGAGTTTTAGGAAATATTTCTTCTCAGAAAGAGTGGTGATGCAGTGGCACAGGCTGCCCAGGGAGGTGTTGGAGTCCCTGGAGGTGTTCATGAACTGCGGAGATGCGGCACTGAGGGAATGGTTTGTGGGCATGGGTTGGGGTTGGACTGGATGATCTTAGAGGTCATCTCCAACCTTAGTGATTCTGTGATTCTATGAATTTTTCACCTGGTGACTGATCAGCAGGACAAGCCTATGTTCACTGCCTCCCCCCTTCATCCTCTCCTTCATCCTCCGCCTGCAATCAGACCATGCAGCATGTGAGACTTCATCCTGATGGGACCAAGAAGGGAAGCTACTTCTGAACAGAACACATCACTCAGCCCCCAGATTTCTATTTCTTTCTAAAGGGCCATGGAAGAGGAAATCAGCCCCTGTCAGATGCAGCACAGCAATTCTTAATTAGTGCGGCGAAGGCTTTGCAAACAGCCCAGCCACCATTACCTCCCAGCAATGTGTGCATTGCTCATTTGTTTGCGTGACTCATTTGAAGGATGCAATAACGCCTTCTGGTGTTACAAGGAGGTTAACATTGCTGTGAGTCACTGGGTAAGACCCCGCCGCAAATGAGATGCGGTGCAGGAGCCCTGGGCTTGCAGATAAGCAAAGGGGATTATCGAGGTTCAGCTACATGTCTTATGCCAAAGTCTTTACTGAGTTAATGTAGTGAACGTAATGCTGGTATAGTGGAGACTATCTCAGCCCAGTAGTTTCATTTTAAGGCAAACAAGCTCCCTGTGGAGAGATCGGAAAACTGGTTCTTTGGAATTTAATTAACATTAGAGCATGTGAAATTATATGCTGCATAAAAGCTAAGCATCATGATTCATGTCAACAGAGCAATTTTACACTATTTGAACTGGCAAAAAAACCCAATACCTTAGATGCAAGATGACAAGTCTACTCAGCTTCTTAAATAAAAAGAGATTTATTCTTTATTATTATTAATGTGGCACCATACACACATAAGCAGTTTAAAAGAGAGGATTGTAAAACCTTTAATACAGGAACAAGCTTTCAGCTGTAAATATCCACCAGCATGCATCCCACATTGTCTCTGCAAGCGCCGGAGACCCTCTCAATTCTCAGCATGCAAAATGTTAATGTAAAACCATCTACTGAACTTATTTCCAATGTCAGATGCACGTTCACTTAAACAGAGCAGAGAGAAGTAGCCGTGTGTTGCAGGATGTACCATTGGCTAAACGTTACTGAGAACATTGGGGTCAAAGCTGTAGTTGGAACGATTAATCCCCAAACTACACTATTTGCTGTAATTTCTGCCCTCAGCCATCCACTGCAGTGCAGAAATCAGAGTCTGCAGGACATGATCAGACGCCTGTCTGCTCCCCATCACTGGCAGTCAGATGTAGATTTATGTCAACGGCGCAGAGTTTCTTGAACTTCAAGATAAATTTTCCATCGCTTACTTTCATCCTGATGTTTCTAATGACACTCCAAGTAATTTCTCTAGCCATTTCTGAATGAAGCACTCATGATATTTTTATTCCCATTACCCTACCACTCATTAGTCGCTGCGGGTTTGGGGAGTGGAAGATCATTTCAGAGATGGGTGTGCCATGGGCCATCATTGAGTTGACACTTCTCTGCCAATTTTTTTCAGCTCTATCGATTTCTTTCAACATTGAACAAAGATACATGAACTTTTTGAACCCTGTCCTACCCATTTCAGCTAATACACCATTAATTATCTTATCCCTCGTTATGCCCTTAGAATGGTTTTAGAATGGGAATAGCTCCTAAGAGCTTTTTAGTCAGCAGTAAACAACATTTTACCACCTTAGTGGTATTAAAATGCATCCAAAGTTGCCCATCATTTCTGAGGATCTTGTTATAAAAATTGAGTATGTGGAATGAAGTCTTTTCTTCCACTCATCTCAATAAAAAATGAATTATCTAGCAGCATTTCAGAATGAGTCACCCAGGCCAAAGTGTGCCACAAGCCCAGAAGGTTCAGCAAGGCTGCTCCATCCCCAGGGACCGCAGTGCTTGCCCAGACTGCCTGGCACCCAGCAGTCTGGCACCCAGCTGCCAGCCAACAGCCATAGAAGTGGTATTGACCCAACGTAGCTTTCTCCACAGCCACTTGGGAACCTGGGGGAGATGAAGGGAGCAGCTTAACTGCAGGACGAATGTAAATTGAAGGAGAGTCACTCCTTGATGCCACTCAAGACCTACCTGTATTGTACTGTAAGAGATGAAGTTTTGGGGTAGAACAGCTCATTGCAAGGTTGGACTGTAAGACGGGAATTTAGATTTCAACTAATCTAAAAGATGTGAGAAACAACATAGAAATAAAAGGGTCAGGGGCTGTGCAGTTCTGAGAAGCATTTGCATAGCTGTCGTAGCAGGGATTTCACTTCACCTTAAGGTCCTGGACATGCACAGCAGGGAGGAAGCAGGGCTGGAGGTGACTGTGTGTCTTCATAGTGTACCTTATAGTGCCTTGTGAGCACTGCTGCCTTTTTCCAGCTTGTTTAGGCTAACTGCTGGTGGCATGAGAACTACAGGTGATGACTGTTCTCATGCTGTTCACCAGTGCACTCTTCCAAAGTGCTCAGCCACTGACCTCCAGCTGGCAGCATGATGGCATCAGCTTGCTGCAGCTGTGTATCACATCATGCCTGCCAGGATTTCTAGGTCATTATGCCAGCATTTCTTCTAGATTGTAAGGAAGCCTCCCTATGGAGGCTTGCATATACCCACCAAATTTCAGTAGTATGCAAAACTGAGTGTGCTTCTCCCTGGATCACCCTATCTTAAGGGGAGGTCAAAGAAATTCTTTATCCTGTGCAGCCCCTTCCCCTTCTTTTTAAGCTGCTGGTGCCCAGAAATCCTGAGAGAAGAGATATCTGATCACAACACCAGATAATTTGGAGTGGAATGGAATGGAATAGAATAGTTCAGTTGGAAGAGACCTCCAAAGATGATGAAGTCCAATTTCCTGACTACTTCAGGACTAATGAAGAGTTAAAGCATATTATTAAGGACAATATCCAAATACCTCTTGACCATTGATAGGCACAGGACATCAACAGCTTGTTAGAATACCAGCAGCTGGCTGAAATTCTGGCCTAAGAACAGATGCCATCACATTACACTTTCAGATCAGCTTGTCTGGCTGATAAGACATATCTTGAATAGCTCAGAGGTGTGGTACACAACACGGGCACAAAGCCCACCCTCTCATTTTCACATGTTAGGAGTCTCCGTTGTGTCTAAATGTTGGAAACACAGCACAACCATTTCAGTAAAATCTGCCAGACTGATCAACAAAATGTTGCTGCCATGAGTGCCTTGGCAAGTGGTGTCTAAAGCAAACCTTGTGTACTTTGCCAGCAAAACCACTGCTGCACAGCTCAGCAAGCCAATACATTATCTTCAGTGATGTTGGCTAGGGATATGTGCAATTATGCTTTCAGGAAAGCTTGCTGGCATGCACCAAACCACTGCTTTAGGCCACTTCTGCAATGACTGTCCTGCAACAGCTATAGAGCCACAAGGACTTACAGACAAGAAGCAGTGGCAAGGAAAAATGCAGTTGGATGCAAGGGGGGAAAGAGTCACAAGAACAGGAGCACCAAGAGGCTGTGAAATCTCAGCCCTTGGAGACTTTCATTGGTCAGATGGATAAAGCCATGAGCTAATTCTGAAGTTGGGACCAGAGATCTCCAATCCAACTTACATTCATCTGTAATTCTTCTTATTCTATGTTTTGTTTCCTTGCCCAAGCACAACCATTAGAAAACAACCATCTCAAAGTTAATCAGTCATTAGAGCAAACCTTCCACAGCTGCTGAGCTGCACAGCCTGCAGGGCTAGAGGCCCTACAAATCCCCAGTGGGAAGTCAGCTTGGAAAGGTTACAGAGGCTGCAGTGGGGACCCAAAGTCTGGGGGTCAAATGGAAAGATTTATATTTTGTGTTGACTATAAATCCTGCAGCTACAAGCATTGGTGATACAGGATCTTGGAGTTGGGATGGTGCTCTGTATGTTGGTGTAGCTCTCTGAGTACTGCTCTCAGGTGAGTAACTGATTTCTTTGAGTTTATTGCATAGCTGTAGGAGCTGCCCTGAGAAAGAGTTAGTGAGCTGCTAAAGTGTGTTACAGACCAGTATGTATAGAAACTTTTCCAAATTGAATGAGGAAATTGCTAAAGCCCTCATGCTGTTCCAGGGTATGAAAAAACAGGTGAGGCATCTCTAAACCAGCATCTTGGACAGAGCTGAGGTTTGTTCTCAAATGCCCAGGGAGAGTGTTGCTACAGGAGCCCCTTCCTGAAATCTCATTTCAGCATTGCTGAGAATGCATCTCCTTCCTTGTGGTCAGATGTTTATGTAAACAGAAGTAAATTATCTCAGGAAGAGCCCTCTGCAGTTTTCACCCTTCTGAAGCTATCATCATTTTTGCTCATTAATTTCCGAGTGAAGTTGCTTGCAGTCCAGCACTAATAACAGAAATACTCCATTTATACCAATTAAGCTCTCAACTTCGTGCTCTTTATATAGCTGATACGTAGCAGAACTTGGTTGGACTCTGCTTTCATTTAAACTTATTTAACCCATTTTAATGAGTATAAAGCAGAACTGTCTTACTTAATTATTTTATTTTTTCTCATAAGGCACTGTAGATGTTCTGTCTGTAGGCTCATTGCTCAAACCACACTCCTGCTTGCTGCTTGGCTCTTCTCCTATTTTCTGCCCCAGAACTTACTGCTCTCTGCTGTTTTGCAGGAGAAATGTACAGCACATACACCATACAACATTGCACAGGGAAGCCCAGGGTAGAATTATAATCTATTTTAGTAACGTGTTTGAGATGGGCAAGATGAATGCTCAGAAGTCTGAAAGTTGTGTTAAGGCTGCTGTTGTAATGTTGGTGCATCCCCTCAAACGTTTGCATGGAGTTTCTGTTTAATTTGTATGAACACATCCTATGCATTTTTTTCCCCAGGATTGTGGCCTCATTCAGTGCACACAATGGATACAGTTCCACTAGTGACCATCCATGCAACATTTAGTCTATTACTGGGTCTGTTTTTCAGCAGATCTGCAGTATGGTATATGTCAGCCAGAAGGTTCAAGCTGAGATCACGTGGCACCCTGCTTCTCCTTGGGGATGCTTCTGGCCACCTTCTTTCCTAGGGCCATGCAGTTCTTCCCCTCATAATAAGATGACCCTGGAGAAAGGTCCAGGGGGGACAGGTGTCTGTAGTCATGCCCAGGTTGCCCTCTGAGTGGTCAGTAAGGAGCAGGACACCTCAATTGCTCACACAGCAGAAAACAGTTCCAGCTGGCTACTTTCCCAAGGCAACTCCACAGCATCCACACCTTCAGCTGACCACAAGCTACATACAGGTACTCTGAATATTCCAATGAGCAAGACTGACCCTACTGAGGATGAATATGTTGGCTGTGTGGCCCTGTGGTGCCAGAGAGTTTCTGTGCTGCAGAACCTGTTTGAGCTACTTTCAAGGAAAAGTGTACCTTTCTGAAGAAGAAAGGTGATGTAAGATGCTCTCACCTGTGCTTGTGTATGCCCACCTTACAGCAGATTCCTGCAAGCAGCTGTGCAAAGCTGGCAGAGAAGGGGTGAACTGTGGTGCAGGATCAAGCAGCCAGAGCACTGAATTCACAGCCAAAAACAAACAAACAAACAAACAAAAAAAAACAACAGCATGTCTACTTTTAGAAATGAGAAATACACCCTGGCAACAAGCTTCTCTGCTTGCAGAACCCAATTGCAGTGGTTCCCAAGTAGCACATCTGCTGCCATGAGCCCAGAGCAAGGGAAGGGCGGGAGCCTGACATCCTCTCTCCTTTCCATTCGGAGCAGCTTGGGAAAGGGTAGAAGAGTGTGGCAAGCGTGGAGTGATATTTCCCCAGAGTAGCCTTTTAGCCTCAAGCCATCTGAAGTTCACAGGCTTCCTGAACCGAAGATGGAATCTCGGCGGCGAGGAAATCATTTCAAGCGTTTCCATGCTGTCATCCCGGGAATCGCCGCCAGAGGGCGCTCGTAGCCCACCGCGGCACCGCCGGCGCGGCGCAGGCTGGCTGTGGGGCGCGCAGATAGCCGCCCTGGTGTGTCACCTCCTCTTACGTGTCGCACCACGAGCGGGTATTAAAAGGGCTGACGGTGCTGGGAAGGGTGAGTTGGCCACGTCCGCGGCCTCAATCCTCGGCTGCTGGGAGCTGGCATCACGGAGAAGCGCAGACAGCAGCCTGGGATGTTATGAGCCCTGCGTGTGACTGCCATTGCTTTCCTGGGTGCTCCTTTTTGGGAGTTCTATCTAGCACAGCACCGAAAGGCTCTCCCCTGCTTTTACAAGCAAGGGAGAGCCGGTGAGAAGGAAACCCCCAGAGAAAGAACTTTCTGTAAATGTGCCTACGGCAAGTGCTGGCTGTTCCCAGGCAGCCTGTGGCTGGTCAGCTTGAGAGGTGTCATTTTAACCACAAAAAGCAAGGAAGTGAGATAACTCCAGTCTGTCCCCCAAACCTCCTCTGGATCTCACTTCTACCTGACCTCTGGGTAACTGTGAGATAAAAGCAGGCAGAGAGAGGCAAGTTCCCGTTCAGATATCTGGGACTGGGGCCTGCATTGAGCTGCCATGCTCAGGGCTGTGCTGTGTCCCCAGCTTCAGGGCCAGCACTGACCCCCTCCCAGGGCTGCACCCACCTCACACGCTGCTCCCATCAGCCTGATCTTTCATTTAATTGTTCACGTTGCACCTAAAACCTCAAAAACGATGGGGGAAGGAATCTGGTTCACGTTGGTCTTTCTTCCCCTTCATTGCTTCTGCTAAGTGTCACCCTGGCTCAGGTGGCCTCAGAGATAAATGCCACCACGCACCTGACAGCCATCAGTGCAGAATTGCCTGCAATGCATTTGCCAGCACCAAAGACTTCTAAGAAGTATGTTAAAATATAACATTTTCTTACTTTTTTTGTTGTTGTTGTTCATTAATGACACTAATTGGTTGTCCCAGTTGTGCAGATCCCACCGGGGCAGGAGGTGTTCTGATTATTCCCTTTGTTTACGGTATTAGACTTCGACTATTGTTGGTCTCATTGTTCTTATTTGCAGCATGTTTGCCTCACCAGGACAGTAATTGTGTCAGGCAAGTTGGAGACCAATCTGTGGAGCTGAACGCTCAGAACTGCGAGAGAAAGGCTCCAATTTCTCAAGCAGCGGGCGCATTACTCCTCCACTTGAGTTATTAAATTCTAATTATAGCCTGTTGATCCAGTTACAATGTTGTTTGTAAATCTAAATACAGTTCTCCAAAGCCTGTTTCTTAACCTGTTGATGCTTGGTTAAAAAAAAAAAAAAAAACACCAAACAACACATCTGTGTGCTTAATGGAGCAGGTGGAGGGGAGCTGCTCCTGGTGAAGCTCTCCTTTCCTCTCCTCTGCTCCTTTGGATATGTTTGTGAAGGAGTACTTATCAGTGTGGGTGGTGTAAAGAACAGCAGGGCAGGTGTGCATCATGCACTGTGCACTCACAGAGCTGGGGCTTTCCCTTGGGTAAGGCTGGTGGAGGTTGATGGGCTCTGTGGAAGGGGAGAAGCATTGGTTTTGTTTTCTCTGCTGTGCAGGCAGGTACCTGAACTTCTGGGAATGGCACTTTAACAGTTTGTACCGCCAATTCCCAGAGTCTCTGTTCTTCTCCTGTGATGTTTATGGGTTTGGGGCTCCTATAGATCAGTTGTGGTTGATCACACGATGGCACAAGGGGCTCCGGAGGACACAGTGTGCATCCTGTATGGTTGCTCAGCTCCTGATGAACCTAGTTCCTTTAAACTGAGTGTCAATCAGGCACTCATCTGATGGCATGGTGAGTCCCTGTGCACTTCCCAGCCCTTTTCTTTCCTCTGTCCTTATGAATGCTAAATGCAAGGACAGCAGAGAAGTGCTGTGAGCAGCAGCAGCTCCCAGGCATTGCTGTGGTTCAGAGCTCCCTGTAGCTCTGCATCTGCAGTGTCCTCCCTCACTTGTAGGAGCCAGGGAGGGGTTCCCAGCAGGACTTCACCCATGTGGATGGCTGCTGGTAGTGAGAAGGGCTGTCAGGTTTTGACACTTGAGAAGGAGGAAACAATTCAAATCCTCCCTCTATCCTTGTCACTCAGAATCCACCAAGAAAGGGAAGAAGGGAGGGAGCTGCCCTCCTGGTAGAAAGTGGAACAAAGGTCTGCAAGAGATCTTCAGTCCAAGTCCTTGCACGGGGGAGCTCCAACAGGGATGTGCGATGTGGATGTGCCAGAGGCAGCAGGTACCAGGAGTGGAGAGATCCTGCCTCCTCCCCTACTGAACAGCCAAGCCTTGACATGGGTAAAAGTGGAGCAGGGAATGTAGTGTGGATTGGGAAGTCCAGGACATCCCAATGGCTGGGATGGGGAGGCTGCTTTGGGGGTCTGAGCTCTCCCACATGTACCAACACTGAGATGTGCTCCCTACTGGGAGGAGGACTGCTGCAAACCCCTCTGGGTGTGTTGCACCCTGAGCCTTAGGAAAGGCCCTCCCATGATTGTGTTTCATCCCCGTGTCCTCTTGGGTACAGACAAGAGAATTCCAACTCCTTCAGGCTCTCACTGATCCTCACTGGAGTCCCTGCAAAGGCGTGAAGGAGACTAATCACAGGCAGTGCTGAGCTGGGCTGGAAGGGTATGTGTGTGTGCTGGGGCAGGGGGGCTCGGGGGTACCCCTGTTGCTACAAGTGGCTTCTGGTCAGAGCAACGGTGCTTCCCTCGGGGGAAGCAGAACAGCCAAAATGTCGCAATGCCTGAGCAAGTGGGTCCTGGAGGATGCCTGAAATCAGAAAGAAAAGTGCCGAGTACTGCTCGGCTGTGTCTGTGTGGCCCCGGGAAGTTCAGTAGCCGGGTTGGGTGGGGATGCGCTCGGCTGGGTGCGGGGCAGAGCAGCCTCCGGTGCGCGAGCAGGTCCGAGCCAGGGAGAAAAGAAGAGAAAGGAAAGGACTGGCAGGCAGACAGCCCCCCAGCTCGGCTCGGCCCTGCCCCGGCTGAGGCGTGGGTCTGCCCTCAGCTCGCGTTGCGGCTCTGGGGCACGGGCTGAGCTCTCGGCATTGGGTTTCACGCGGAACAGCCGCTCCCCGTGGATGCCACAAACCGAACGTCCGCGATGTCTGAGCGCACAGCGCGGGGCACTGAGCTCTCCTTCATCCGAAAGGCGCTCGGTTATCCCTCTCGGTCATCCCACGCCGCCTTCCCTCTGCTGTTGCATTGCGCAAAAGCCGTCGGAAGATAGAGTAAATAGCGGTTTTAAGGGAAGGGGGGAAAGAAAACATATATTTCAGTGTTTGTTTTGTTTTGTTTTGTTTTTTAGAAACAAGCCCTAACGCCGCCCGCTCGGAAAGCTATAAACGCGGATCTCGCAAAATCACCTCTCAGTGAAGGTAAAATTCGACCGCCCGCTCCGGGCAGAGATGTTGGAGCAGCCCGGAGGTCCCAGCAGCCCTCAGCTCGCTGCCAAACCCGCTGGCTCTCAGCGCTCACTGCTCCCGCACCTCCCGGCCCGGCACCCGCAGCGCTCCCACGTGCGGGGACAGCGGTACAGCCCGGCTTGGAAAACCGCTCCGGGGTTGTCGTTCGTGTCAGACGGCAGCGAGTTAAAGCTGTATTTCCTGCGTTTTCCTCTTTTTTTTTTCTTTCCCCGTCGTAAAAAAATATGCTTTATACTCTTATTTAATGGGATAAAGGATAAAGGGATGGAGGCAACGCGACGCACGCCGTGCGTCCTCTCTTTCCCGGCTGCCCCCGAGCCGAACGCGGCCCGAACCCGCCGCTTTCTCACGGCTCTGGAATCGCGCTGCTCGCGGTGCGGGGCTGGGAGGAAGCGGGGAGCCCATCGCCCCCATCCCGCTCCATCTCGGGGGCGGCACACGGGGAGAAAGGGAAAAAGAAAGAGGAAAAAAAAAAAAAAAGGATTGTTTCTCTTTTGTGCCCTGAGCAGACTCTCCTTCGACTCCCCTCCCGGTCTGGGGGCAGTGAGGGGCTTCGTGGGGCGCGGGAGGACGCGCGTGGGGTGGAACGAAAGGAGAGAGGCCGAGAAGAGGAGAGCGGGCGGAACGCGCGTGGGGTGGGACGTGGGGAGGGGCGGCCCGTGGGAAGGGCCCGGCTCTGCCCGCCCCGCCCCGCGGCACCGCGGAGCCCACGGAATCCGTGCTGGGGATCGGCCGGGATGCGGCGTGGGGAGCGGGTCGGGCCCGAGCGGGAAGGGAGGAGGAGACGGAGGGAGCGGGGTCGGCTGTGAGCCTGAGCCGGGCCGGCGGGGCTGCTCCAGGGGCGGGGAGAGTGTCGGGATCCTGATGGGGCGGCCGCTCCCTGCCCGACGGCTGCACGGAGGCGGCGGCACGGCCGGGAGAGCTGCGCGTTTGCGTCCCCATCTCTATCCTCCTTTCCTTTCCTTTTTAATTTTTTCTTTCTCTCTCTTTACAAATTTTCCCCCCTCCCCTCCCAGTTCTAACTGACCACAGGTTAAAACAAAGCTAGAAACAATAAACATCGAGCACCATTTTCCCAACGATTTTCCCAAACGAAACGCTTTCTTTAAAGAAAAACCCCAAACCTTTGGCCGATGGCCGTGCAGCGGGACGCGGGCAGAGATGGAGAAGGATCCGGGCAGGGCTGCAGTGGGATGCGGGCAGGGA